CTCCAATAAGAGTAGAATTTTATAAAAACAGTTTACCAAATACACCTCTCCCACCTGAACCTGTATTAACCAGGTGGGGCACTTGGATTCAAGTAGCATTGTTTATGCAGAACACTTTGATGTTTTAAAACAAGTCAGTAAATATATAATGGTTTTTTACTATCATTCGTATATTGAATATTTTTAGGTTGTAATGTCATTTGAAGCCACAGATGCACAAAGCATTAAAAAAGTTCAAGAGTTCCCGAATAAAGCAAACGTTAAAAATGAACTCTTGTACATTAAAACTCACTTTAAAATTATTGCTGATGCAATAGAACAATTAGAAATTATAGGTTTAAAATTAAACCAAAGTATGGAAATTGTGGAAAAAGTGTATACATCTTTAAAAAACACACCAGGAAAGGTGGGGGCAATGGCGTTCCAAAAATTATGTTCTCTATTAAAAAAGAATCCAGGATACGATTTTATATCTTCAGTAAATAATGTAATTTGTGGTAATGGAAATGCTACCAACAATCCATACATAAATGAAAACGTAAATTGTTCAATATTTAATTTTGCACCCATCACTTCTTGTGATGTGGAACACACGTTTTCAAAACTTAAATGTGTTTTAAGCGATCAAAGGTGTAAATTTATAATCGAAAATTTTGAGAAATATATAGTTTGCTTATGCAACTCATTTTAATTACCTGCATTAATATTTTATTTTTTGTTAAATGCGACTTGCTTTAATTTGATCATCATTTTTTTTGCGATAACTTAGAATTAGTGGACGTAACTATAGATCGTTTATTTATTTAATCATTTTTTTGTTCGTTACACCAAATATTTGTTTCTATAATGTTTTGTTTAATGTTTTTTTAAGTATATATTTTTTTGATGTATGCTTTTTCGTTGAGCAAATATTTTTTCCTCCAGGTTTTTAACCTAAACTAAGATTTTTATAACCTAATTCGTCAATTTTGGGACCTAAAAATGTCTCCTTTTATTCATTTTTTAACGACCTCTAAAATCCGAAGCCTATTGATCAGAAATCTCAAATCCTTTATCTGGTGATTTATCCTTTATTTTAGGGCCAAATTATTTTTATACACGGACATATGCAACCAATATCACATCAAATCTACGTGATAAACCGATAAAGAAAAAAATATATACAAACTTGTCAACTACTCAAAGTACATGGTGAGAATTATAGTAATTTCAATGCAAGACAAAATACATATCTCATATGTAACTCTTTTATATTTTATTTTTCTAAAATGTACAAACATATTTAGATACGTAGTAGTTAATTTTGACGTTCACAGTAATTCTATTTGTCAATTTTGATCTCCAATAAATTTTATGTCCTAAAGTCTTTGCCATTTCTATTGAAACACCATCTGTTGATTTTGCTTAAAATTTGCCAATTGGTAACAGCTTTCGGTTGATTGACAACGGCTTTTATTTAGAAAATTGTGTGAATATGAACGTTGCCAAATTTACGATCAACAAGTGGTGTTTCAATAGAAATGGCAAAGACTATAACTGAAGAAGTACAATAAAACATCGTGTGTTAAGCCGAAGAAAATCCAATGTCTTCGTTAACAAGGACAAGCAACTAGTTTGACATTTTTCGGTCTTCAATTCACAAAGTTTTGAAAGAGTTTAAATAAAAACCTTATAAATTCAGAAATCACCAACAACTAAGTCCAGAAGACAAAATTAAAAGAACGTATTTTTGCGAAATACTATTTAATTCAATTAACAATAATGAAAACATTTTACAAAACATCGTATTTACAGATGAAGCATTATTTTCATTAGAATAGATGGTGAAATCAGTTCCCAAAATGATCGGTTAGTCCTGTTGAAAATTTATAGATTTCAACTCCAGTTGATATATTAGATTGTCAGAACACACGAGTGTTGTATCATCGGCAAAATATACAAATCTGTCAGGAAGTAGATGAAAATATAAATCATTTATGTATGTAACAAAAGTAGCGGACTGAGGACACTTCCTTGTGGCACTACTAGTTAAGCCTTTTCAATATTCGATTAGTTCTATTTACTTGCACAATTTGACAACGGTTTTGCAGATAGAATTTTATAATAGCCAGGGGCATGCTAATTTGTATAATAATAATAATAATAATAGTTAGGACAATTCCACGAAAATGTCAAATGGCCGAATTTTATTAATAAAAATTTTATCGGAAGTTGCCTATCAAAAGAAAGCTCGTTTTTTCAAAATAAAAGGGAAGACAATATTTACTCTGAGTCTATCAGGAATTATAAGGGACAGAGCAGACAATTTACAAATAAATATTTTCTGAAACGTTTAAAAAATGGGCAACAATTAACCAGATCTTGGTTATCCTATTCGAAAAGCAAAGGATGTGTTTTCTGTTTAGTGTGCAAATTATTCTCCAGAACACAAACATCTTTACTGAGTGGTTATTCAGATTGGGCAAACATAGTTCGTACTTTTGGACAGTCATGAAGAATCTCAGGATCATAAAAAGGCGCTGTTACCCTGGTTATCCCGCAAAGAAAACAAAAACGTTGTTGACAGGCATCTTCAGGAAAAATAAAAACTGACTGTGAATACTATTACCATGTTCTGATGCGAGTTGTGGCAGTTATTAAATTTTTAAGTGAAAGAGCATTGTCATTTAGAGGACATGATGAAAAATGGGGTTCAACACGTAATGGAAATTTTATGGGACTTATGGAACTTATTGCGGAATTTGATCCTTTTTTGAAACAGTATGTAGTAAAATGCCAAACCGAACAACTAGTTGCAAGTTACTTGTCTAAAACGGTTTATGAAGAGATAATCGACATAATGGCAACTGAAGTAAGAAAAAAAACTATTTAGGACATAAACGATGCAGATACAAAATATTATTCAATTATTGTGGATTCTACTCCAGATTTGTAACAAACGGACCAACTGGCAATTATTTTGATATACACTTCCCAAGGAAAAATTTTTGAAAGAATTTTATCATTTATAACAATTGACAGTCACACAGGAAAAAATTTATTTAATACACTACATTTATTTTTAAAAGAAAATTGTCGAAGGCAGTCTTATGACAATGCTGCGGCAATGAGTGGAAAATATAATGGACTTCAAGCACGTGCTAAGGAAATTACCAAGTTCGCATATTATGTACCATGTGCAGCTCGCTCTTTAAATTTGGTAGGAGTCGAAGCTGCAAGTGTCGTACCCGATGTAATCAGCTACTTTGGGGTTGTACAACAACTGTACGTGTTTTTTTCGACTTCACCCCACCGGTGGAATTTGTTAAATCAACATGCAAAACTGCCACTTTCAGTTAAAGGTTTGAGTCAAACTAGATGGTCAAGTCGATACGACGCTGTTCACGCGTTAAAAACAAGTTGTAGCTTAATTGTAACCATATTAGAAACTATTATTAATGATAATTTAGAAAAAAAATGACTGCAAGATGGAAGAGAAAAATATTAGGTAAGCTATACAAACTCGAAATCGCTATATTGTTGAAGGTTTTTGGGTATATCCCGTAATAAAGTAAAGTATATTGACTGTCGTCTGGGAAGAACTTCTTGAAAGAATTAGCAAAGTCAGTAAAAAGTTACAAAAACCTGGATTAGATTTGTGTGAAGGCCTTGCACTAATAACATCTTTAGAAATATTTATCAAATCTCTTAGAGAAAAATCTAATTAGAAATTAAATTGTGAGTGAAGGGGTTTTAGCAGTAAAGTGGAAGAAAATTATAGTAATGCGAAGAATAGGATTAAAATTTATAAATATTCGGACGGCACAACAGGTACCAGTCCACTACAAGGACGTGAGAAATTTCTCGTGGAAGTTAATCGATTGTTGGACACTTTAATAACCGAACTCACCAGAAGAAAAGATGTATATAATGAATTAGGGAAGAAATTAAAATTTTTAACGAACCTTACAAACAAATATGTAGCACATATTGACGAAGACAGCGTTGACTGTGTTTTACAGTGTTACAATGAGGACATCGAATTAGGATTGAAGAATGAATGTTTACAATTTAAGGAATATTTAAAAATTTCTGCTGACTTAGCTCAGAAACGTACTGTAACATGTTCAGATATACTCGACTGCATTATTAAAAAAAACCTTATGGACATTTTCCCGAATCTGTACACAGTAGTTAAGATCTTCTTGACACAGCCAGTGACCAGTTGTAAAGCTGAAAGAGCTTTTTATAAATTGAATTTTATTAAAAATAAATATAGATCGACAATAAAAAACGAAAGACTAAGTTCTCTGTCGATTCTTCTTCAGAAAGAAAATTGTTATATAATTTGTTTGTGTTTGTTTATTACATTTTATTTTTGTATTTTTTGTTATTGTTTTTTTATATTAAAGTATTGAAAATGTGTAAATTAAATGCTTCTAACAAACTTCTATTCATAAATGGGGCCCCAATTAAATAATAGCATCAGGCCCCCAACAGTCTAGATCCGCCTCTGTTTGGTACAAAACAAAATCATCCAATTATCAAATGATTGTTGAAAAATATAAACTAACTTCTGATTTGGTTGACGAGCAACACATTAAAGATTTTGGTGAACAAGAAGGCAAATTTGAGCTGCGTCTAAATTAAATGTGGATCTGTTACAATCTAACCATTTTAACAAAATGAAGATGTCAAATTCTCTAAACGTCTTGAATCGAAATGTTATTTGTGGAATAAAATTTGATGCAGAAGACAAATCTTCTCTAACGACAGCTGTTTTTATTGATGTGTAACAGTTCCGTTGTCCAAAATTTCTTGAGTTTATATTAAAATTATTTAACTCACAAATTTCGAGATAAAAAATAATTTGAAGAATAGAAGATTAACGATTACTGAACTCTGATGGGTTCAGTAATCATTACATTCAGTCCGTACTGATTTAAAGTATTTTTTTTTATATTTAACACATACAAACTCCAACATTTCCTCAAACTTTTCCAGAAATATGCTATAATTACCTAGGTCTGTGCGATAAATTCCTGCAATCACTGTTTTCGTGTTGATGATAGCGCAGAATTCTGCTTCCAAATTGGACGAAAATTTATCCAAGCAAACACAGTGACGCCACTCCTTGCGAAGATTGCAACTTCTCCATGTTTATGTTGAGTCCTACAATAGTTTGACATTAGGTCAAATTTGATTAAATTAAATGATACCAGAGTATTTAAGGTTTGCCAGTGCTCCGTAATGCACACCACATCGAACTTATATTGATCTAAAAACAGAGATAATGATTCAATTTTGTTTGACAAGCACTGGATATTTATATGAAAAGTACGGACCTCAGGAACCTTGAGGTTATTATCGAGTTTTAAATGATCTTCCAAGAAATCCAAATCCGCGCAGGCCTTTCTACAACAAACTGCTTCCCGGGATATTTTTCGACCAGGAAGTTTGTCACATCCTTACACTTGGTATTTGTGTTCGTTCTTCCAACGTAAAGCCAACTTTTTTTACCGCTGCCCTGAAATTCGTAGCGCCCTCCGTTGACACGTTCTCCTCAATAACAAAATTTTTGTGGTTAGGATTGTTCAATTTTTTTTTAATAATAATAATATATAACCATTTTCCAACAGACAACTACATCTACAGTGGAAACACAATGCAGTAATACATAACAAAATAAAATAAAATAAATAAATACAAATGAAAGAAAACATAAACTAAAGAAAATTTGTATCATAATTAGGAATAATATGTCAGAGTTATTAGTTTTACACTTTTGTTATTAAGCTTGACATAAAATATATCCCTAAGTTAACACCAAGACAATTGTGTAGCTTAAAAGATGTTAACAGCGGACAGTTATAGTGATGGAAAGTGTTAGGTACATTATAATAAAAAGTTATTGGTACTCAACTTTTAATCATTTATTTCGACGTAATGGGTTCTGTTTTCATGATAACTTTTAAGCCAGTCCCATGCTACTCCCCTGATTCCTTTGTGCCATAACTTATCTAATAATATATGTTGGTTGACAAGATCGAATGCTTTACTCAAATCTTTAAAAATTGCAATGTCGATATTTTCATAGAGATGAACTAAAAATTCGATGATCGCAGTTGACGTCGACCTTCCCTTGGTGAATCTGTGTTGATTTGAATGGTTAAACCCCAATTTGTGTAGAAAAATACTTAGTCTTTTTACAATAGTTTTTTCAAAGGTCTTCTTGTTGGATTATCTTTTTTTGTAAAGAGGGAAAATTTTAGAATTTTTTAGCAAGCTCGGAAATTTACCAGATTTAAATGAGTTATTTATTAAAGTTGTTAGTATTCTTGTTAATTGTGTAGCACCGTGTTTTAAAAGCACTGAGTTTATTTCATCTGGTATACTTGCTGTACTATTTTTCAAATCCATATAATGTGTTTAAGACTTCTCTTTCTGTAACCGGTTCTAAAGAAAAAGAGAAACTATTAGCTTTTTTGGATTTAATTGTTCCAAAAGAATCTGTAGAAGTTGTATTATATGTATTACATTGTTGTGCAACGGTGTTAAAGTATTTATTCAATGCATTTGGACAACTATGATTATCGTATTAAGCTCTTTTAAGGTCCCCGAGCCTTTTTCTTTTTGCCTATTATTTCCCAAGCTATCTTATGTTGTTATATTTTTTATTTTGCTTCTTGAATGATTTTTTTATGTGTTTTTTTGTCTTGTCTATAATTATCTGTATTTGTTTCGTCTCTTATTTTTGAAAGTTCAAAAAGATCTCTTAATATTTGAGCTGATTTTTTTAATTCTGATGTGATCCAACATTTTTATGGTTTTTGTTTCCTATTGATTTTATATTTGACTAGAAACGCTATGTTGAAGTAATAAGTTATCAATAGAGAGCGAATTTATAAGCACAAAAAGAATTAAGAATAAGCCCTTAAATAAGCACAACATTTTCAATAAAAAAGTTTTATTTTAAGCAAAAAAGCATTAAAAACATAATCATATTACAAATCAAAGAACACTTCTTAGAACTTTGGATAAAATATTATTACAATAATCCTAGACTTTATATTTTACACACGTATTTCAGTTTTCGTTAAAACAATTAATGATTGTAATATGTTCCAAGTTGTCCACTGTAAAATTTTTTCGCCGATCATTTACAATGTGTTTAAAATTGGAGAATGTGCGTTCAACATCAACACTTGTTGTTGGCGCAAATTTGAATTTTGCAACTAATGTTGAATCTAACTCCAAATTTTCCAACTTTTGGCCTTGTAAAACACGAGCAACGTCGGAAAGAACACCAAAACCTGCATTTTTATTTAACACTTCGTCAAGTTTTTGAGATACTCTAGTACCAATATCACCCCTTACTGCGTTTGCTTGTTGTTTAAATTCTTTCACTAAGTTTATGGCATCTACCAACAACATGTTGGGTTTTTCTAACTTTTCTATTACCTCACATACGAATTGATAATTGCTTCTTAGAAAAGCTAGATCTTGTCGCAAATCTTTGTTTTCCAAAATATTTATGCAATCTTTAATCGATTGGGAAGAATCTTCGCTAAACTCCGTAACTACTTCCTCAAATTCTTTGATAAATTTGTCATAATAAAATATGGCCTGTAACCATGTTCCCCACCTCGTTATAATCGGCTCTGGGGGCAATGGTACGTTTGGAAATTTTTCCTTAAAATGTTGCACTCTTAGTGGGGCTTTAACAAAAATCTTTTTACCATTTGCCACTAATTTATTAACAGTAGGAAACTGCAAACGTATTCCTTCAGCCACTCTGTTTAAACCATGGGCAATGCAAGTAGAGTGAATTAAATTGGGGTACAATATTTTTAGATTATTCCCTGCTTTCAACATATAACGAGCTGCATCCGAGATCATCAATAAAATTTTATTGGCAAAAATAGTGACGTAAGACTGTCATTTACAAATCTGGTAATCGTATTGCCATTTGTTTTATCTAACATTTTCAAACTTACTACATGCCCTCGACTAGGGAAATTTTCATTTAAGATTCCAACAATTAAATTTGCCACGTATCTTCCACAACTATCGGTTGTTTCATCGACAGCGAACCATAAATAATTATCTCCAATGCGATGTTTAATTTCGTTGTAAACTTGCTGAAACACTAGGCCTACATAATTTTTTCAGAGAGTACTTTCAACCGGAATATGTCGATTGCAGTGTTTTTCAAGGAATTCTTGAAGAGGGCCTTTCTCCAATTTTTTTAAAGGTATATTGGACCGGATCATCATTTTACATAAATCGAAATTAAACTGAAACTGCTCATCTTTTGTGGAAGTAGATGCAGCAGATTCATGTATGGTCTGCTGTTTAATTTTAGAAACTTCAAACATTTTCTTCCTTTCTACATGAAGAGTCGTTCTGACATGTTGCGTCACGTTATATTTTTTTTCACTTTGAATCTAAAACAACGTACATATACAGGATTAACAAAGGAAAATAGATAAAAAAAAATTAGTGGGCTTACGGTTTTCACACAAGCTCTGCAGAATATTTTGTTGTTTTCTAATTTTAATTCTGGAAAATCGCTTATCCACTCATCCGGCGTCGATTTTACTTTCGGCATTCTTTTAAAATATTAGTGATATTACCAAAAAGAACTCAACATGTAACAAGGGAGAACCACGTATAACACTGTACTACGACAGATGCGATAGACTGATGGTTGTGAAATAAACGGTTCATTTACTTAAAAGTTTCCATTAGAAAAATTTTAAGGTAGGTAGTTGGGTACAATAATCCTTTTTTTTAGAAAATCTTCAACGGTCTTGCCGCAAAATGTCGAAAAAGAACATCTGGTTAAAAGCTTTAATTCATTATCAACGGAAGTAAGGATTTAAAGTCATAAAATCTATGCAGTATTTTTCCAATCCTATAATATAATTTTATTACCCAAACGACCGGAACCTATTCACAGAAAGGGTCTTGAGTAAGTGTACTTCAGTGGTCAAGTCCAGGTAAAATGCATACGATACGATACGCCTAACTAACAAGTATTTATCATCCCGACAAGGCCGGCATTTGAACAAAATATGCATTAAAACTCATATTCGTCGAAAACAGCATTAAATAAGCGTATAACTTTTACTATGCATAAAATTGAAAAAAAAGCAAATAAGCATAAAAAAAAAATGTGTCAAATGACTCCAAATTGTATCATAGTTACAGATATAAAAAAGCTTTGAAGTGCTTACATTTTTCACAAAAAGCATTAATACCTATACCTGGGTAGAATTTGACATGTTTCATTTTCCGATGTACCTAAAGATTGCAACAAATAATTTAATTTTAATAAAGATTCATAGCCTGAAGAACCGCAAGAAAATTTAATCGACAGTGTTTTTTATCCAGTCTCGAGGCGCCATTTCAGTTTTTTTTTTTTTTATTTAATCCATTTGTAATCATTTCTTCATTTATTTTAAAACACTCAAACGCTGTTACCTTTTATAAATTTGGTTCAATCAAACTAACAAAGAAAAATGGCTCGACTGCCAGGTAACATAGTTTTCGTTAAACTAAATGTTTACCCGATAATTCTAACTACACGTGGTACTCGTATTACTTATTATTTCCTTTCAGACACTAAAATTAATTCTCCGGAATAACCGATTTAGCAACAAATTATGAGCCATTATTAATTAGTAACAACTGAGGAAAACGCTCACCGGAAAATGAACAACCTGTTACAGAACAATCCGATTAAATTTTAATAAACACATCCTGCATAAACACGCATCCTCCAATAATCCAATTCTAATGCAAATTTAATGTCGCTCTTTTGTGTTAACACGTCTCAATAAATTTTTGAAGTGCTTACATTTTTCACAAAAAGCATTAAACCTAGAAATCCGCTCTCTAGTTATCAACCTGGAAAACATATTTTGCTGGGAATCAACGTCACTGCAGTCATCGATATTTTCTCATTTTTTTGTTTTATAAGTTTTTTAAAATGCATTATATTGGCGATATTATTAATTTGTCTGTATCTTACCCTGTTCTCCTTATTATCCTCTTCTGTTGTTGTTTTTAACTGCACTAACTGGGCTGCATGATCAGACCATCCCGTCCATATTACAGTCCTCTACATCCAGTGAAATACAGATACTGTCACTTATAATACCATAAGTAGTCAAAGTTATGTCGAATATTTTTGCGGTGGTGTCACGAATGGGCATTACGCTTGGATTTAAATACCACGAGTGCGAAGCACGAGTGGTATTTCCAAGCGAAATGCCCATGAGTGGAACCACGGCAAAAATATACGACTTAACTTTGGCTACGCATGGTATTCGAGGGACTATTGCATGAATCAATAATTTTTCAGATTAAAATTCAACCAAAAAGTAAGAAAAATTAAGATACACATGCCTTCATTTCCATATCAACCGACATAATAAACATTTTTTTTTTCATAAAACTTCCGTGACATTTAATGCAGTTTTTGGTGTTATTCTGTGATTTCAACATGCAAATGCAAGAAAAGAGATTTGGGTCAAAATCAGAAGAAGAAATAGATGCCGAGATATCCAAAAGCACACCATGGAACACAAAAAAATCACGCGACTCGGTATGGCGGCAATTTTCCAGCTTTTTAAAAGAAAAGGGCTACAATTTAGAGCAATCTACTTCTCCTGAGAGTTTAAATACTATTTTGAAAAGTTGGGCCTCTAACATGAAAAAAAAAGATGGTACTGATTATAAGGAAAATGTAATTAAACACATGTTTAATACAACAGCGAAGCTAGTTCAAGAAAAATATTTCAATGAGTGGAATATTAAAATAAATCCATTTACGGATCCATGTTTCAAGGCAGCACGAGACGCCAGAGACGCTACCCGAAGAAAACTTCAAACACTACCAGAAAAAAGGACAGTAAACTCAACTGCGCTAACTGAAAATGAATTCTTAAATATGGTACAAATTTTAAATGAAAATACACCCGACGGTTTGCAAAAGAAGTTTTTTTTAATAGCATCTTTTGAATTAGCATGGCGTGGTGGTGAAGGAGCCAGTTGTTTCACATACTATTTTAAGCCAGAAATTGACAATAAAGGACTTACTACAGGCCGGATTGAATATAATCCTGTCTTTTCTAAAACAGCACAAGGTGGTTCAAAACCACTAACAAGTAGTAAATGGTTAACGAAAAATAAAGACAACCCCAACCTCTGCCCCGTTAGGTATTTTTCTTTCCCATTTTATGTCGTGTATTAAATTGTTTCATTTTATAGGCTGTATCATCTACTAATGATGAAAAGAAGAAATAACATAAACACCGACAGAATGTTTTTAACACCCAATCCTTTTTGGAACAAAATACAAAATGCAGTGTGGTACAAAAATAGTCCCGTTGGAGTTAATGAAATTGGTAAATGGGTAAAGTCGTTAGCAATAGTGACTGGTTTAGATATTAAAAGAAGGAAAATATCGAATCATTCTGTGCGCTCATCAGCGGTGTCTGCTTTGGCTAAAGCTGGAGTCGAAGAACAGCAGTTGATGAAAATCACAGGACACCAGAACGTTAACTCAATTAAACCATATTTGCAACTCGACGATGAACATCACAAATCAATTATTAATAAAATACGAAATAATTCAGTTAATCACGTAAACAATACTGTAAATGATAAAATTATAAGTGGAGCTTCTTGTTTATTACAAAACTGTACGAATGTAACCTTTTCAAATTGTACATTTAATGTTACTGACAAATAAATACATTAATTTGTCGTCGACTTTCTTTTGTTAAAAATTGTCAGTTGAATACCTTCCTGGGAAGATATATCCGATACAACACATTATAACCATAGTAACGCCCACACAAAGTACAATTTTTATTGGCTCTTTTTAACCAATTGACAGATGAATGGAATAGTCTAAACAATTTTACCCCTGGTTGGTCCATTTATTACGGGCTTCAAATAGAAGGAGTGCAGAATGTCCAACATTTAATTTAGAAGCTAAGGGAAACAACCGTGAAAGTGTGCTCTGCAACAAAGTGAATTTATTAGGGAAAAAACAGCTATTATTAAGTCGAACAACATATAAAAGAGTGAGAGTGAGAACTACATCAAGATCTCGTTCAAGGTAGGAGGAAATACAAGTGGAAAATAGAAAGTGAGAACAGGCCTTCCGGAGAAGCAAAATTATAGTTAGATCTCCAATAAAATCAACGAATCAAGGAAACCAGACAACCGTATACATGGAAGAAATTAAAAAATTGCTGAACGAATTTAAGAAAGATTTAACAGATCAAATGTCGAAGATAAGAAACGGGATCCGAAGTGATATAAATGAGATAAAGGATGAGATCAAAAACATGAAGAGAGAAATAAAAAACAATAGAGAAGAGGTCAAACAGATAGCGACGGATATCGATGAAATGAAGATAGAAACAGCAAAGAAAAAGAGGATTTATCTCTCAGAATACAGGCAGTAGAAAACAGATTAGAGAAAATGCAAAAAGAGAAAAAACGAAACAACTTGATAATTACTGGGGTCACAATGGGCGAGGTAAGAAGAACATATAAGATCGACGAGGCAAGATACATAATTGAAATGGAACAGTGCAATGACAAATTAACAATACTGAAAGAAAAAGCAAAACTAAAGGGAAGGGACATATTTATTGACTCAGAGCTATCAAAAACGGAAAGAGAAATCCAGAAATGCATCAGGGATGTGGCCAGAATTGAAAAAGAAAAAGGCACGAAGATACAAGTGGGATACCAGAAACTAAACGTTAATGGACAGATGATGAAATGGAACCACGCAAACAAAAAGCTAGAAATGGTCAAACCAGATAAAGATCCAAACAACCAAAAACCAATAAACAGGGATCAACGACGACGGCAAGGCAAAGAAAAGGGTACAATGAGAATGGAATAGGAAATGGAAGTCGAGATGAAAGAAATAGGCAAAACATGGAGAGAAATGGAACAATAGAGCATAGCACAGTCAATAAAGAACAAGTACAAACAAACGAGAATAAAAAGAAAGAGGACTCTGGGGTGCAGAGAGCTGATGACTCACTCACCTTAAATTTACACATCAACGAAACCAAAACAACGCAAAACAACAAAATCTTTGGAATGAAAAACAAAACAGGAATAGGAACCTGAAACGTAAGACAATGTTAGAAGCAACTCAGCTGGCGCAGATAATACATGACATGGACCTCCTCAATATCAAGATTCTAGGGTTATGTGAGACAAGATGGCCAGGAAATGGAGAAATAACAAACAGAAATGGCAGCGTTTTGCTTTACTCAGGGAAAGAGGAAAGCGAGAAAAGAATGGGTGGAGTAAGTATCCTGCTATCCCGTAAAGCTAGAATGAGTATGTTACAATGGAATCCCATTTCGGACCGAATTATAACAGTAAGAATGAAGACATCAGTCAGGAAAATTACAATTGTACGGTGTTACGCACCTCCAAATGTAGCAGAACATGACCTGAAAGAGAAATTCTATGGGGAATTATTAGAAGTAATAAGACACATCAACAAAGGTGATGTAACCATAGTAATGGGGGACCAGAATGCCTAAATGGGGGACAATAACGAAGGAGCTGAAAAAATTATGAACAAACACGGAATAGGAGTAAGAAATGACAATGGTAACTGATTAATAGAATCCTGCCTAGGAAACAACCTGGTAATCGGAGGCACTTTATTCCCACATAAAAAACATCACAAAGTAACATGGATCTCACCAGACCATAAAACACGAAACCAAATTGATCACATATTAATAATAAGCAGTAAGTGGAGAAGGTGCTTATTAGATGTACGCAACAAAAGATCAGCAAATGTGGGCAGTGGCCACCACTTACTGATTGCTGAAATGAGAATGAGAATATGCGTCGTAAAAAGAAACGAAGAAGCCCTAAGAAGCAAAAAATTCAACATAGAAAAGCTAAAAGAAATAGATATCAAAGCAGAATGGATTGCCCGACTAGAACAAATCAAAACTAAAAGTCAGAACAATAGAAGAAGCATAGATTGTAGATGGAAAGATATAAAAGAAAACATACAAGAAGCAGCAAAGGAAGTGCTAGGTTATATGGAGAAGAAAAGGAAAGAATGGATAAGTGATGGCACGTGGAATCTTATACAGAAAAGGAAAGACATTAAAGCCAAGAGAAATGGAATGAGAGAGCAAGAAGAAAACGGAAAACTAGGAGCAGAAAACGGGAAGCTAAACAAGGAAATAAAGAAAAGTGCAAAGAAGGACAAATCAACATGGACGAACAAATTAGCACAAGAAGCGGAAGAAATGTCAGTAACGAATAATATGAGAGAACTATATAAAATAACGAAAATATTAACCAATAAAAGCTACAACCCCAATAAACCATTATACGACAAACAAAAACAATTCATTACAACACCTGAAGAACAAGTGAAACGATGGCAGGAATATTACACAGAACTACTTGTAGAAGAAGGTATGGAAACAGAAGCAGCAAGCATAGAGGACAATGAGGAAAGGTGCGAGCTACTAACGAGATACTTGCGGAAATATGAAAAGCGGACCCAGTGAGCACAATAGAACTACTAATACTATTAATAGAGGATATCTGGACAAACGGAGAGATACCAAAAGAATGGAACAATGGATAATAGTAAAACTACCCAAGAAAGACGACATAAAAGAATATAAGAACTGGAGAGGAGTGACCCTACTAACCACAGCAAATAAAATTCTGGCATATATAATAATCAACCAACGAAGAAAGCAGAAAATAGGCAATACTTTGAGACAAAAACAAGCGGCTTTTAGAAGAGGTAGATCCTGTATAGATCAAATCGCAACGATGAGAATTATAATGGAAGATACAATCGAACGAAACGCAAACCTGATCCTGGTCTTCGTGGACTTTGAGAAAGCATTCGATAGACCTAAGGGATATTTAACAAATAAAATAAAAATAAAAAAAGGTCAAGCAAGGGTACATACTATCCCTAACCCGAGAAATGGAATAAGTTGGAGCCCACTAGACAATAAGAAACTAGCAGACCTAGGCTACGCAGACGATATCTGCTTAACGTCAAGCAACGAAAAAAATATTAAAAGGATGTTAGGAAAAGTTGAAAGAGAAGCAGCTAAGGTGGGAATGAAGATTAATGCAAATAAAACAGTGCTGATGAAAACGGGAAAAATTCTAATACAAGAAAAATTACTCTTGAATCAACGAGAAATAAAGGAAGTAAACGAGTTCTGCTACTTAGGGAGCGTAATTAGCATAGAGGGAGGAACGGAAGAAGACATAAAGTAAAGGATTTGGAAAGCACAAGAGGCCTTCGGAACACTAAAGAACATCTGGTCATCGCCACATATTATGTAAAATACCAAGTTACGTATCTTTAACAGCAATGTAAAATTTGTTTTGTTGTACGGCAGTGAAACATGGTCCATGACAGGAAAACAACAATAAAAAATACAAATTTTTGTCAATAAATGTCTACGCAAATTACTGAAAATATACTGGCCAAGAAAGATTCGAAATGAAGAGTTATGGAAACTAACGCAGCAAAAAACTATGAGAGAACAAACCAAAAGAAAAAAGTGGAACTGGATAGGCCATCACAAAACATGCACTAAAGTGGACTAAGGAAGGAGATAGGAACAGAGGAAGACCGGCAACCAGCTGAAGAAGAGTTACTGAGAGAGAAAGAACAGAGACTGGGAGAAGTTGGGGAGAGACTGGGAGAAGTTGGGGAGAGCTCACAAGAATGGCCAAAGACAAACAACAATGGAAATGCCTCGTGGAGGCCCTATGCTCCGATTATTAATTTGCCTGTATCCTACCCTGTTCTTACTATCCTCTTGTGTTGCTGCTTTTAACTGCACTAACTGGGCTGCATGATCAGTCCATCTCGTCCATATTACAAAACTTTGATTGTCCTCGATATCCACTGAAATACAGATATTGTCTAAATAATTTTTCCCCTGGTTGGCCCATTTATTCCGGGCTTCAAATAGAAGGAGTACAGAATGTCCAACATTTCATTTTTTCTTGCGATTGACCTGAAAAGTTGATATTACTAATTTGTATTTTTTTAATTTGTTACGAAAATTTTTTAGCATTGTGGTAAACATTTCAAAAAACAAATCAATAGTACCATTGCTACTGCTTTTGTATATAACAGCGACAAATGGATGGAGCTCCCCCACATTCAACTGCAATAATAACACATTATTTAGACGAAATTTTTACAGACCGGTGATAGGAAGATTTGGGCCAACTGCTTGGCCACCAAGGTCACCAGATTTGTTCCCGAATACTTGTTCTTTTGGGTGTACCTAAAAAATGCAGAATACAATAATAACATTATGATAAACGATATTTCTGTTATCTGATTTATGTTGTATACATTTTTCAAAATTCCAAATTATATTTTGACAAGCTGACAAGTTTAAACAATTTTTTTTAGTTATCACTTAGAAATGATGTAATATTGGTTGCATACTTCCAATACATTGATGTGTATTTTTTTCAGATTGAACTTTATGGTGTATGTTCAGAGTTAAAAAAATGTACCTGTGGATTAACCCTAGATATGTTCTCCATGAGCTTTCCTGTCCTTAAATTTTATGATAACGATGGCATTTAAATCTCTGTTGTTTCGTCAAGTTGAGACGAAAATGGAACCCTCTAGTCGGCTTGTACTTACTGAATCTTAAATCGGAAATCCTTCTTCGTTATTTTGGTTGGTGATCCAAGGTTGAGTGAGAAATCTTCGCGGATTGAAAATGGACTTGAAGACGTCAAAATCGTTCTTGACTTTTCTTACATTTTTACTACATTTACAACGCTCAGTAATCTCTGAAACACTTTTGTTGATATTGTAAACATCATCTTTCGGAAGAGAGATACTTACTTCATTTTGAAGTCTGTACATAATCTTCAATAGGTGAAACTCTTCCATGTATCTTCTGAAACTCCTCATTAATAATAATTTGTAACAGTTTGGGTTTCAAATCATTTTTCACTTTGCCAATTGTTTTCCTTCAGCTGGTTAGTGTTTAGTAGCCAGTGCTCCCGGACAAACTAAGTAGTGGCTTAATCTCGAGTATAACTAACGATTAGTTGTCGCACAATAATATTTCGATTTAAAACTTACAATAGATGATAGTATATTCTTGAAGTGCAAAACATCAGCTTACGCAACTTTAGAGGACACACACTCTGAGGAACTGAGATCGAAGGGAGGCCTGAATTCAAGGCCTGATAAGTGATAAGTAATGATAAAATCCCTTTGTTTGCGCTTGCCTGAGAGAATGGGAGACCAGGCCGCACATACTTTTTGAAAAGTTTAGAAAGGACTAATGGGCTAGCTTTGGAAAATATTTAGCTCAGAAGAAAGAGCATTTTATTTGCTTTACTTGCCATTCGCTGGACACGCTTAGTGCAGGACAAATTGGAGGTGACAACAACACCCAAGTCAACGTGTGAGTTTGTACATGAAAGAGATAAGATGTCAATGGAATAAACGTGTTCGGGTTTTTAATCCCAAAGTGCAGGAATATGCACTTGTCTAAATTCAAACGCTCGATCGCTCAGAAAGGGATCTATCCACCCAAGAAAGTTTCCCCGTATACCAAGAAGCCTTTGAAAAATCGAGATATAAAATATCGACGGGGCGATCCAGATCGATATCACTACTCCAGTCTCACAAACAACACAAAATATTAGATTAAACAGATTTCGTAGTATTTACTTGGAGTATTTTCCGCATTTCACGTGCATTCAAGTACTTGAGACTTGAAGTACTTTTAGTAATAGTAAGTAATTAGTACTTGACTTGACCACCATTTCAACTAGCACTTTATAATTAGTACTTCAAGTACTTTTGTTGAGTACTTTGAACAGCTCTGATTACGACAGTACGACTACATAATCAATGTCAACATAATTTTTTTTTATTATACGTAATACACATTGTTTGCATTTAAAGATTTCTGCTGGGGGGTGTGTAACTCCTAATCTGATTCGATAAAATAATGTGCAGAGGACGTGCCGAGATATTACCATAGTTATCGAATTAAGGGTCGTCCAAAAAGGGGACACTTTTTTATTTTTTTCCGTACTTATTCTCGTTCCTGTGTAGCCCAAGTGGATGTATATCGCAAGAAATTTATCGTACCGTTGCCCTTAGAGGAAATTTTTCGTTATCAGTATTGTCAGCGTGAAGAATCGGGTCGACAGCAGAGTTTTTTTGTTGGCTAATCGTCCATTTTGACTCGCTGAAGGATTGCAGGAAAGTCGTGTACGCTGATGCAAATTCCTGCAGTCTCATCGAAGTATAGTCAAGATATTTAAGGATTCTAGCGTTTGTAAACATTTATTATTATCAACAAATACCACTTGAAATTACTGTGGATTATCGAATATCTATATACTTAATATTGTCAATGGAAGTGTTAGTATTGATTTTGATTCTGTTTGTCACACCGCAGTTCCTGTATTGCTTTAAGTAGGGTAAATGTGTACAAGAGTACGCGCTTAGTATAAAATTGTCAACAACTTTTTAATTTTTTTGGATAGACAAATTTGATGATATGGGTTCATCATATACATGTTTAGAGACCACATATATTTAATTGTAGGTCCCAAGACCACTATATTTTAAGAGTAATTTCAACTTTTGTCAAGATGTGTAAATGCGCACTCTTAGACAGTTCATTGCACAAGAATGCGCATTTGAGCGCTTAGGAGTGCGCATTCCATTTTATGAAAAAATCTTTGTTTCTAAGGTAAAAATAAATGGGAATAAGTGACTACAGACTACACATAAAACGGGAGACCTATTTCTCCGTACGCTAGGGGTCTTGAAAAGTCTAGAAAACGTAAAAGTAGAGAGTCGATCGACGGACTCGATTACAACACGCTCAGGAAGTAAAAGTTAAAAAAAAAATCACTATAACCACCACCACACAACTTGAGAAGCAGTACAAAGTAGTAGAAAATAATTCATTATCGTATGATATGTATCTACAAGACTATTATTAGACTACGTATTATAAGCAATGTGCACTCTTATATATACAATACCTCGCTGCGCACCTAATGTTTTCAAAGTTAAAACCTTTTGATGGATAGAAAGTATAAAACTGTTAGTGCATAACGAGACCTTAAAAGTTACAGCTAATGAAAATTATTACTGTAAAATAAAAGAACTGGTACGTACCTTACAAAAAACTAAAACTATGGGCGGTAAAAATTACGTCCACACAACGTGTGCACATAAAATCGTCAGTACGACCAAACTATAAACTATATACAGGTCACTTTTGCACCTTTATCTCAGGTTTAGCATTAGATTTTGAATGGTAGAACTTCATCTTACCCAGATGGCACTAATAAGCAGTAATCATCAGTGCGTACTCTTATACATATTCGCACTCTTGTACACATTTACCCTACCTAGGTATACGGTTGATAATTGTTGTTTACCTATTCCGGATTTAACCAGTTCATAAACATCTGCCGCTTTATTGATATGATTCATCACTTTTAATTTATAGTCTTTGCCATTTCTATTGAAACACCACTTGTTGATCGTAAATTTGGCAACGTTCATATTCAGACAATTTTCTAACTAAAAGAAGCTGTAGTCAATCAACCGAAAACTGTTAGCAATTGCTAAATTTTAGGCAAAATCAACAGGTGGTGCTTCAATAGAAATGGCAAAGACTATACTGTCCATTTCATTTCTTTTGCAGAATCTTGCATCGATTTACCAAGACTGTCAGTTTTTATATCATCTGATGGATGCTCTAACTTTTGAATAATCTAATGGGACATAACGAGTGTTAATTTAAAAAATTCATTAAATTGTGATCGATTTTTTTGAAGTATGTCTACGCTGAAATCAAAATTTATGATCGATGACAGCTGTTATCGATTGTCTAATCTAGAGGGCCTTGACAGAATATGTCATTTTTAAGAGTGTGACCAAAGTCATTTAATAGATAGTTCTCTATTAACTAACCTTGGAGTGTGACCACGAAATGACAGTTTCAACTTTAACATATTTTAGGTTATATGACTGGTTGTCAGAAACACGTGTATGCCAAAATTGTTGTCAGATTTATCATGAAAGGATTTTCCAGTTTCCTAAAAAATTGCAGCAATCCACTTGACTGTGATTTTTATAATTTGTCATTTTTTGAATTAAAAAGTCAAACATTGAAAATATTTTCTGAAAATGCCCAGCAGTTTAAACGATGGATATCGTTTATATAATTTTCCCTCATATAAGAAGACTATTGCACAAGTTTGAGGCCTCCAAATTGGAACATTGGTTCTACCTTCAAAATTTGTGACGTGCTTACTTTTGTAAAATCCTTTCCTCTGTTTTTTAAAATTATCTTTTAAGGTGCACTTTGATCAAGAAGCTTTCGTCTACGACTTAAAGTTAAAAGCAAACGTTTTAAGTAAATATTTTCAAGTTCAAGATTTTAAAGATAAAGCACCATTTAAAATTGTTATTCCGGAACAAAATATCAAAACTCAAAATTTAATAGCCACTGAAAAAGAATTATTAGCGCAAATTAGAGTGTTTAGGGAACTACTATCAAAATTTGTTGCAAACAAGACGAAATTTGTTGTTTAAAACAAAAAATTAACAGTTTGAATTTAAAAAAATTAAAAATTAATGACAAACTTGTATCTTTTACCAATCATTCACAGCGTCAACCTATTTTAGTGACGAAGTTATTCCCAATCATTTGACTTTGTGTACTAAACTGTAAGCCATGGCAATAAGAAGAAAAAGTTTGCTCGTTGGTTACTTGCGAAAACAACTGATTTTTTTAAATTCTGAGCACAGAAAACACGTAAAAGTAAACTAAACAACGAGACACAAACCGAAAATCGGGTAATATAGGGATGCTTGTGATGCTGGAGCATTAGGGCGCCGAAGGTAAGGGGCCTCGTTCGGCTTAAATGTAGAAAAAATAAAATTTGTTTCTAATTTGGTTCTTACAAAAATACAATTTCGTCTTCGGCTGACCGTTTGCAAATCTGGTCACTTCCTCCCTTTCCGTCAATTTATGGCAGCCACCTAAATCTGGGATACCATAAAGAGTTCTCGGTGCAAATGTTTTACAAAACGTTTTGTTTTCAGTCCCTCATTCTTTTTTGTTCGTTCAGTAAGTTTAAAAGTGTACTGATCTGCGAATATTACAGTGTGTTAAAAATTAAAAATTCAATAATTCAGTTTGCGTCGAATTATATTTTATCATTTTTGGAATCAACAGTGTTTAAGGTATTTAGATAATTATTTTCGTTTTGTTAAATATTAATAATACAACTTATTCATTAGGTATTTGTTTAAATAAAATGTCTGAGCGCAAATATCTCAGTGGAAGCCAAAAGAGGAAACTTAAGCTTCAACATGAACAGGAACTAGCAAAATGTCGAAAAGTCACAAGTTTTTTTACACCTCAACCTTCCCCTTCCACTTCAAATAACTCAACTGGTGAAAATGAAGTTATTTTGAAAAGTGTGAAAAATTCTGCTGGAACTTCATGCAACAACTACGCTACCACCGTCATCAATACAGTTGATGAAAAAATGATTAAAGATGAGGCTAAACAAATCGTAAGTGATATATTTAACGATAAATTTAAAGATATAGCATTATGGCCGAATTCTATCAATGAAAATTTTATCGGAAGTTGTCTATCAAAAGAAAGTTCGTTTTTTCAAAATAAAAGGAAAGACAATATTTACTCTGAGTCTATCAGGAATTATAAGGGACAGAGCAGACAATTTACAAACAAATATTTTCTGAAACGTTTAAAAAATGGGCAGCAATTAACAAGATCTTGGTTATCCTATTCGAAAAGCAAAGGATGTGTTTGATTTTAGGAAAAATCGTTTATCTTAGTCCTTAAGCCGCCAACATTTTGGTAGTAAAAATTTATTACTTTCTTGATCGATTATCCTGAGATCTATTTTGAGACACATCTGGAGATATATTTTGGTTAACGATGTAAGGCTGATTGTTCTTATATTTCAACATAATATCGGTTCCACCTTTAGCCACTCTATCCTTAAATTCTTTCCGAACCTCGTTATTAAAATGTCTTTGCCTTTTAGTTAAATCCGGATGGAAATGGTAGTTGCAATTAGAATTATTCTTGTTCGAACGAGGAATGTCTTTGACGATATCTTCATTCTCAAAAACA